CCAGGGTAGCTGAAGCTGTTGACTGATAGGGGTGACAAAGCCTTTTCTTGCAGCCCTAAAAATCTGGTAAAATGTAAAACTTTTTATTTGCATTTATGAATCTGAATCCATGCACTTCTTTGACCCATGGGCAACTCCAGCTACTCTTGATGGAAGCAGCCAATCCCTTCTTCAGGAGAGAAACATTTCTGCTCTCAGAGACAACACTGTGACTGGCACTGCAGAAACCCTCTCAGAATGCACAGAACCAAGTTAATTACCACCTGTGGTTGACCTTTCATTCCCTAGCAAGTTCCTAGAGGAGTTTAGATCCAAGATTACCTAGATCAAGCTAACACCCCAGGCCTAGTGCAACCTGGACTCAGGCCAGGAGGAGACACTCAATGTGCTCGGTTGGCATTGCTGGATTATCTCCTGCCTTCCTGTTAAACCTCTATGTGCTGATGGTTAGATGCAAGTTAGGTGGTGATGTGCCAAAATGCATCAAATCCTTGAAGAAATGCTCCCAGTTTGTCCTGGTCTACCACAGTGACATTGAGCTGGCAAGAACCACAGGATCTGTTTTTACCTCAGCTCTTTTCATCACCTTCAGTCACTAAGTGAGCTGGTTAGACAGTGTGGCCTCAAGCACCAGAACGCTGTAAGTGACATTTAGCTGTGTTATCCTATCCCCCATCATCCAGGTCCACATTGTACTTCCAAGAGGGTCTATGGATTGAAAGGGATAACTTCTCTGCAGGAAAAGAATGCTTCTCTGAGTATTTGTATCCGCTCACCTGATCTGAGGAATGCAACATCATAATCTGTTAGCTATTTCCAAAGAGGGTGGATTTAGCAGCCATTGAATATAAGGAACAGCAGAATGGATTTTTAAGGCATGTACGCTGATAGTAGAGGAGTGTAACGTAGGCTGTGCATTGAAATATCATCTGTTGGTTGGACTACTCTGCTTCTACCTCTGTTTCTTTAATATGTGAAATAATTTGGACTGTATTAGATCACGACAGAGTGTGAAACACTTGCAGGCACTTTTCAACTGATGTGTTTATTAAACATAAGGGAAAATACTGCCTGTATTACACATGGATTTTGAAACTGAACCAGAACTAACTAGATCTCAAAGGTATATAGCTTATAGCATCTTTAAAAGAACACTTCCTACTACCTTCTTTGTAAAAATATCTCTAAGCAATTCTTAAAATAAGACTGATTCTAAACTCTTTACTTGTTTCTAGCTACTTTATTTGATGAACATAATCTATAGAAAAATGTGAATTGTGTGAATTCAGGAAACTGTAATGGGCTTCAATTTGTATACAGAGAAGCAATGTCAGTGAATTAAACAGCTTTTCTCTCTCCTATATAAAATCAAGTTCTGACGTACATATATGTCAGCTACACAGATCTATAACTGTGTGTTTTTTATGTGTGCATGTACATACAAATACCTATACATACATGCATGAAAGTTCATGCAGCAAACAAACTGGTCCATTTGTTTAAGTGTCTTGATGCCTACAGGAAACTAAGGCATTATGCAGTTTATTAGCAGGACTGCAGATGACTGTGTGAAAATCTTTCTATTGTTAATGACTATTGCAGGGATAACACGATGGGAAAATGAAAAAGCCATATGTGACTGTGACACAAAAATGATGGTGTTTGGGAGAGAGTTACAAATGCTAAGGATCCAAACCCCTGGTACTGCTGCACAGTACTTCTACTATGCAAAGCTCATAGGAACATTAATGTTCTCAGTCTAATGAAGTGATTGCAAAATGACTGTTTCTGAAGACTTGGGATATTTAGAGATTTATGTCAGTGTATTTGGTTGATCTAACAGAAGAAGCCAGGCAAGAGCTATACAATTAAAATGACACATTAGAAAAGTTAATTAAGAGAGCACAGATAACCCTGTGACAGTTTCTGTGCCTAATTGCTACAGCAGAGGCCAGGATCTCATCTGTGCTAGTTAAAAGTGAAGCCATTGTGCTAGAAGCTAGAAAAAAAAGGCACTCCTCCATCAAGCTGCAAAGGCCCAGGGACAAGAAATACTAAGTTTGTGGAAGAAAGTCTCATTTTGCAAGTGTAATCATAACACATGCTGCAAATTTCCTGCAGTGACAGTTATCCTCAGACAGACCCATCATTTTCATATCGTTGAAGTGGCTTTATGCAAGCCTTCACCAATGGCCTACAGTTGACAGCAACAAACCATTACATTGCAGAAGACACTCCATCTCGGCCTGGCAACTGGAACGCTGTGGTGGATTGCACTCTTTACCTAGACATCATAACAAGCATAGCACCTGTGAAAACTACGCTGGGAAACGGAACCATTGTTTCTGCTTGCAGCAAGTGTAAAAGACATTAGATGTTTGGAAAAACAACAACAAAACCAACAACTGTTCTTTCAAGTTTACAAGAAGGATTTAAAAAGAAGTATATACAAATTCATACACCATAAAAAGGTAGGGAAATGGTAAAATGGAGTAAAAGAGCCAGAAGCAGACTGCATTGCTAATTTAAAGAAGGAATTCGAAGATGCTCAGAAGCAGAGTTCTAAACGCAGGTCTAATTAATGAGACAAAAGGCACTCTCCTGAAGTCTATCAAAGCCATGCAAGGTTCCACATTCACCATGCAGGGACCTGGTGCATTTCTAGCTCCTGTTTTGGAGAATGCATTCCAGCACTGTTGTTACAAAGACTGTACACCACCTACAGCTTTCCAGACTTTGCCACAAAGGTCAGAGCTGTGTATTTATCTACAAAGATGCTGCTCAGTGTAGTACAGCACTGCGTTTTTGCTGTCCTGTCCCTTCCAGATGTGTGAATCATGATACAGCAGCATAGGTTAAAATAATCATGTATGGCAGGAAAGGAGAGGTAAAGCCACAGAGTGTATTTTCCTCACTGCATTAAAGAAGAAAGAAGATCCTTACTCACGTAGCTAACTTGAGTCAGCAGCAGTCCCTGTCCCCGCTTCCGGTTTAGTAAGTGCTGTCCTCTCTTTTTTTTTATTTTGGAGGGTATATCACAATGGATACTGTATTTGAGGATTACAGGTCATACAGCTGTAAGTAGTGTGCTGTGCAGTGCTTCCTTCCAATAAATGAGATGCAATGAAATGAGTCAACACTTGCCAGTTTGGAGAAGATACCATATTATTTAGGGAAACTGCTGAACAGCAGATTGTTGATGACAAAATATTACCATGGAAACCCTGGCAGATGCAGCTGCATGCACAAAGTAATCCCAACGGCTGTGCCCTCAGTCTGCATGAACAGCACCCCTGAACTGGGAATCTCACACAGCCGAACTGAAATAGAAAAGCAAGAGCATGCTAAAGCAGGAGTAAACATCTGCTTTAAAACTGGTTTATGGTTGTCACCAACTTTGGTTTGCTGAGAAGCTGCCAAGAGTTCACAGAAGTTAACAAAGGGCAATACTCGGGTTGCACGCCACCAACATTTGTCAAACTTGTGTCAGTAAAGCAGCACTTCATCCTAGGCCTGGGGCGCGTCCCATGCTTTCCACACACAGGTCGGTCACTGCTAGAAGCTCAGGTTTTGGCAAACCACCATTACCTCCTGTCTGAGGCGCTTGGGAAATTTCACGGATGTCTGATGACACCGTCTGGTGCTGGTTACTTGAAACGAGCGGGTGAAAAGGCAACAGGACACGGGAAATGTGTGGGTTCAGACATCCGCAGCGCCCGCTGCACAGGTCTACACGCGTTAGTGGTTTCTTTGTTACCTGCGTCTGCTCAAGCTTGGGGTTTCTGCGGCCTTCTGGGCTTGGTCTTGCTCCACACACACCCACGGCCCGGAACGGCTGCCCAGGTCACAGCGTTCGGGACAGAGGAGGAGCTGGCCTGTGAACTACGCGAGGCCGTCGCTCGGCTCGCCGGCGCAGCCGCATTGGGCAGGTGGTGTATTTGCAGGGTGTCAGCTCCTCCATTGTGGCAAAGACATCGCAGACCTAAGGGAGGTTCAGTGGAGGAGAACGAGAACAGCCACCGCCAAGGCAAATAAATCTGTTCACACAGAAACTTCTGGCGGTCGTTTACTTCAGGAAACGGGACATACGGTCACAACAGAACGGTAACAATTATTCTTTTGTTGCAGCATAAACTTCCTCTGAAACTGGAAGCCAGGGAGTAAAGCTCCGGTAAACATTCCGTTTGTCCGCTGGCAGCCCCGGCAGCGACACCGCGGAACT